ATAACAACAGACACTGCAATCATTAAGAAAATAATTAGAAATTACTACAAAGAACTGTACTCCCACAAATTTGAGGACCACCAAGAAATAGAAAAGTTCTTGGACTCCCACCACTTACCAAAACTCAGTCCGGAGGCAACTGCAGAATTAAATAAACCCATAACCGAGGTAGAGATTGAAACAGTCATCAAGGATCTCCCAACGAAAAAAAGCCCAGGCCCAGACGGCTTCACTACAGAATTCTACAAAACATTCCGAACAGAACTAACCCCAATCCTCTACAAGCTCTTCAAAACAATAGAGGAGGAAGCAACCCTCCCAAACTCATTCTATGAAGCCAACATCACCTTAATCCCAAAACCGGACAGAGAACCATCAGAGAAGGAAAACTACAGACCTATCTCTCTGATGAACATTGATGCTAAAATTCTCAACAAAATCCTAGCCAATAGAATTCAAAAAATCATCAGACAGATCATTCATCCGGATCAAGTAGGATTCATCCCTGGAATGCAGGGATGGTTCAACATTCGGAAATCCATAAATGTTATAAACCATATCCAAAAACTGCAAAACAAGAACCACATAATAGTTTCAATAGATGCAGAAAAAGCTTTCGACAAAATCCAACACCTCTTCATGCTAAAAACTCTAGCCAAAGTAGGCATAGATGGGAAAATCCACAACATAATTAAAGCAATTTATGAAAAACCCAACGCCAGTATCATACTGAATGGAGAAAAGCTAGAACCCTTCCCACTGAGATCTGGAACAAGACAAGGGTGCCCGCTATCACCACTGCTATTCAACATAGTCCTAGAGGTACTTGCAGAGGCCATAAGACAAGAAAAAGAAATCAAAGGCATACGTATAGGAAACGAAGAAGTCAAGCTTTCACTATATGCAGATGACATAATCCTATACATAGAAAAACCAGGAGACTCAATACAGAAACTGCTAGAACTTATACGAGAGTTTGGCAGAGTGGCAGGGTACAAAATTAACGAACGAAAATCAACAGCCATAGTGTACGCAAATAACACCAAGATGGAAGAAGATCTAACCAACAGGATACCATTCAAAATAGCAGAGAGAAGTATGAAGTATTTGGGAATCAATCTAACCAAAAGCGTAGGAGACCTATTCGAAGAAAACTACAAACTATTTAAAAAGGAAATTGAACAAGACCTCAAAAGATGGAATAACATCCCGTGCTCCTGGATAGGCAAAATCAATATCATTAAAATGTCTATACTACCACAAGCAATATACATTTTCAACGCAATTCCAATCAAATTGCCCAAAACATTCTTCACGGAACTGGATACAATGATTCAAAAGTTCATCTGGAAACACAAAAAACCACGAATAGCTAGAACCATCCTGAAAAATAAGAGGTTAGCAGGGGGAATCACAATCCCGGACCTCTGGACATACTATAGAGCAGTGGTTATCAAAACAGCCTGGTACTGGCACAAAGACAGAAAGGAAGATCAATGGAATAGAATAGAAGCACCAAAAGGGAACCCACACAAATACAGCCAATTAATCTTTGACAAAAAGACCAATGATAGCTCAAGCAAGTGGGAAGGCCTCTTTAGTAAATGTTGTTGGGACAACTGGCTGATAGCCTGTAGAAACAAAAGGATAGACCCACATCTATCACCATACACTAAGATCCAATCTACATGGATAAAAGACCTAAACCTACATCCAGAAACCTTCAAACTCTTGCAAGAAAATGTAGGAAATACACTGCAAGACCTAGGAGTAGGTTCCGACTTTCTAAGAAGGACACCAAAAGCAACAGCAGTTGAGAACAGAATAAACAAATGGGACCTCATCAAACTAAGAAGCTTCTGTACAGCAAGGGAAACAATCAACAAAGTAAAAAAGCAACCCACAGAGTGGGAGAAGATCTTTGCACACGATATAGGCGATAGGGGGCTAATTTCCAGGATATACAAAGAACTTCAAAACAACCAAAAAACCAAAACAAACAAGCCACTCAAGAAATGGGCAAGGGAAATGGGCAAACATTTCACAAAGGAACAAGTCCAAATGGCAAACAAACATATGAAAAAATGTTCCAGCTCCCTAGCAATAAGGGAAATCCAAATTAAAACATCGATGAGGTACCACCTAACACCAGTAAGATTGGCCCACATAATCAAGAACACCAACGACGCTTGCTGGCGAGGATGCGGGGAAAAGGGAACCCTACTCCACTGCTGGTGGAGCTGCAAATTGGTACAGCCTTTATGGAAATCAGTCTGGAGAACACTCAAACAACTCGGAATCTGCATGCCATATGACCCAGCAATAGCACTCCTAGGAATATATCCAAAACACCTGTTTTACGACAAACCAACATGCATCCCTATGTTCATTGCAGCACAATCAGTAATTGCAAAAACATGGAAGCAACCGAAATGCCCATCAATAGAAGATTGGATAAGAAAGCTTTGGTTCATCTACTCCATGGAATACTACTCAGCTATTAAAAAAAACAAAATGCAGTTCTTTGTGGCTAAATGGGCACAACTGGAAACTATAATGCTAAGGGAAATGAGCGAATCCCAAAAGATTAGATACCACATGTTTGCCTTGATTTAACCTGTAATTTATTGTTTGGTTGTTTGTTATTTTTTGAACGTGTCATTGATGCTGTCTCAACCCAGATGTTTCGAAGAATGGAACTTGCATTATTTTTAACATATTGTTTACCCAATACAATGTCAATTAATTCCATAATGTTGTATATTGATACTGAGGCCTTGTTGGGGCTTTTAACTGACCGGATCTTTACTCTGTTAGACCTATCTTCAGACCATAGAAGGTCTCCCCAAGAGGCCACTGGACTTATCTGGACAATAAGACGCTGAACTTTATGCTAGGCATGTATTTGCAAGCAATGAATCTCAACTGAACTTGAACTATGGTTATGCAGCAAGGTGGAGGAATCCACCATGGGGGGAGGGGTGGGGGGAATCCCCAGCGCCTATAAAACTGTACTACATAATACAGTGTAAGCAACAATTAAAAAAAAAAAAAAAAAAGAACATAATCAACATAATGTATGTAAGCTGATGGTACTAAATACCCAGATCCAGCAACTCAAGGGTAACTGTGCATGCTCATGGGTCTTATCTTTGTTGTTTTCCTCTCCCATCCTGAAAACTGAAACTATTTAATGGTTCAACAAAGTCAAATTCTATCTGTTGTCCCCATCAGCCATTCTTTATTTGAATAGACCAGCCTCAGTGGCTTTGGTTTCCTGTCTGTCCAGGCGATAGAGTATGATAGTATTATCTGAAGCTACAGAGATACATTTGAATTGGCAGAAAAAGTTTGGGAAAAAGAATGTGTGTAAAAGTAATCAACTCTAGTTTGAAAAAGCTGCGAGATTAATGAAGACTCATCAATGAGTAGAAGTGTAGAGAGGGGGAGTAAAGGAACTGTAAATAAATATTAAAATATTGCCAAGAGTTCATGCCAAAGAAAACTACAGTGTGCATTTCCTCCACATACATAGTTAACTCATTCTCACTGTAATTATCTGTAAAATTACTTGTTGGTTTGACAGATGAACAACCTGAGATTCCATGAATTCAAATACCTTTCTTTTTTTTTTTTAAGATTTATTTATTTTTATTGGAAAAGCAGATATCCAGAGAGGAGGACAGAGAGGAAGATCTTCCGTCCGATGATTTACTCCCCAAGTGACCGCAACAGCCAGAGCTGAGCCAATCTGAAGCCAAGATCCTGGAACTTCCTCCAGGTCTCCCACGCCGGTGCAGGGTCCCAAGGCTTTGGGCCGTCCTTGACTGCTTGTCCCAAGCCACAAGCAGGGAGCTGGACTGGAAGCAGAGCATCCAGGACATGATCCAGCACCCATATGGGATACCAGCATCAGGGATGGATGATAAACCTGTTATGACATTCCACAAGCCCCAACTTCTTCATACTACCCATTTCTCTACAGACATTTTGAAAACCTACATAGGTGTGACTCTCAAAAACTTTTTCTGCATTCAAACATTTTTAAATTCACTTTTTCCTATAATCTTTTAAGTACTCTAATACTGCTGTTTTCAGAACATAAAGGAAAAGGAGTAACGTCATAACAAAGAACTTCTCCTAATCAGATGGCTAAATTCAGTCAGCTGAACACATACAGAAATAGCAAATTCCAATGCAACTTTTAAAAACTTTTGATTTTTCCAATGTTGATTAAAAAGTAAAAAGAAAAAAGCTCTAGCTTGAAATTGTATTTTTATCTTCTTGTAGTAAGTAATTTGAAAAGAAACGTTCTTTACTATTATGCTTGCACATGCATAGTATCAATTCAGTCAACTGAAACTCAGCAAGACTTATAAGGATTTTGCTTCTCAGCTGATTTTTTAAAGAAATTCTTTGGAGAGGCAATCAACTAATATAACTCAATTCATTCCATTGAGGAGTTTAAATTATTTTTCATTTTATAGCACTCTGAACAGCTGGTTCTTATTATGCCAGCTATTTGTATATGCTAGACATGTTCACTAACTTACCTAAATGGTTAAGTCATAATTCTGTCATAAGTTTAAAAATGAATGCTTTAGAAAATTAGCTGATGGCTGGAAAGGCTGAGATCATGTTTGTGCCTATTATCCACATTTTTAGATAGAAGCACTTTGCTCAATAAAGATCCCCTCCATCAGGGTCTCTTCGATATTTCAAGAGATCACAAGAAACTAAAAACCTAGCAATGAAAAAATAATTCATACATTTTAAATGCTCTCCTTTTGAGCTAGATTTCATCAGCTAGAGATTTCCGCTCAACCTACAATATTACTGGCTACAACGGGGGCAGCGTGTACATCAGTTCTAAAGAAACAATTTAAATGTGGTATGTGAATGTGCATGTTTTAGTCCATTGCTTTCATGTATCTAGCAGACAGTAAAGGCAGCACACAAAGACAAAATGAGACCCTTTCTGTAAGACCCCACGGTGTTACCTTTCATCATTCACACTGCTTCTCTTCACTTTAATCTTGTCTTCGCCCATGTTCTGGTGAAAACTACAAAAATAAACATATTATTCATTACATATCTTGATTAACAACCTTATCTCCTGCATCATCAACAAAAAACTTGGAAAAATGAGAGAGGCAGAATGGTACTGCAATCTGCTCTTTCTGGGTACGTGCGGAAGGACTCTTTCTCTCAGAAAGCTGGCACCCCTGTGTTCTTGCTCTCTTTGAGGAAGTACCCCTGCCCACTAGGGACAGAAGAACCAGAGGCATTCTGATAAAGCAACCTGCTGTGGTCAGGGAACAACATACGTCTGAAACTTGTGGCCATTTTGACTTCTTTTCAGTGTTATTACATCTCTCAGGGTCACAGAATATAGGTTTAAGGGTCGCAAAAATACATTTTAGAAACCTTGCCTCAAGGATAAACAAAATGTTGAAAACAAAGACTAAACACAGGTAAGTGGATGAAACAATTTGTGGAGGTGTCAGTGGAGGAGTGAAGTAAAAGATGGAGAAAGTTAATTTTGCAAAGCTGTTGCAACCAGATCAGCAGTTGTCCTATGGGTCACTGCCGCGGTAGGAATACAACAGCTGGAGCCATCAGAGTTGTTCCCCAGTGCACACCAACAGGAGGCAGGAATTGGGAGCAGAGGTAATGTTTAATCTATGCGCGCCAATCTGTGACACTACATATTCCAGTCAGCTTCTAAATTTCTGGACCATAATTCTCAGACGGATGGCTAAAACCGGAATGCATGATTCTGAAAAGCTTAAAATCATTTCTGCAGAATTGAGGCTTTTTGCACAAAGAAACATTATAACGAGTTGTTTCATTAAGATAATAAACATGCTACATGTGTGAATGTGTTTGTAGGTACAGTAGGAGAAAGATTAACATTAAATACTTATTTTTAGTATCTCAAATAATGTTTCATTTACCTGATATTAACTACATACACAGTGTAGTTCCAATTCTGGAAAGTTGAATTGAGCTGAAAAACACAATGGAAAAGCCCAGGTTTTTAGAATGTCATTTTTACAAATGAGTGAAGTTTTACTTTTACCCCTCTCCAAGTAAGTTGTTATTTGGATAAAACCCTGGGGAAATCTTGAATGAGTGAATTGCAAATACAGTAACTACTGGATAATTTTATGCTAATAATGACAAATGTTCTTTCTTTCATACACAGAGAGGTGAAGTTGCTCCACCAAGGTCATACAACCAAGCAACAGAAGGTTGTAGACTAGAACTGTTCCAGCATTTCCTCTCTAATCTTATTACAATAAGACTAACAAGAATAATATCTTCTTGTCCTTCACTTAATAAACAGTAAGTTGACCTGAAATAGATTTTCAAGCAATTAACGTCTGACAACAATATTAATAATAATAAGGAAAAAATTAAAAATACAAACCTCTAGAAAGGGGTGAAGAGTAAGTTCAACATTATTGGAAATACAATTTGTATTTGGCTCTTCACAGCCTCTTTGGGTCACAGCATGAGACTTTTCAGGAAGCAATGGACTTCTCTCAATTAAAAAATAGCAAGCTTCTCACATGTATTTGTCAGAGTTTCCACACTCACAACAGATCCTGCTATCTTTGATTACCTCAGAAAAGTATTTCAGATCTTATTATGTATATGCATTTACACTTTTGTGTAAGCACTTCTGAAATTCAATGTAAATTTCGGGAAATGTTCGAAAAAAGTATCAGATCATTTTAAATTACAAGTAGAAATAGAGTAAATATTCCTTTCCAGAATGTTTCAGGAATTTTTCCCTAAAAATTTTGCATTGTATGCATACACTAAAAATGTGGCTCCCCTAACCTGAAAATCCAATCATTGAAATGTTCTAAATTTAAAAACCTTTAGGAGCACTATGATAAAAAGCATGCCGATTTTTTTGAATGCTCATGCTAATGAAACAAGGATACCACTTACATTTTCTCCATGACAAAATAAATATCTACTTTAGTACCCTGCATCTAAGATGCAAAGAATCCCGTCAAGCTTAGCTTTAGATGAACATGATATTACGTTGTGAAAGTCCCATCCGAAGTGCGAGAAAAATGTGAAATTACACTTTTGGCTAGCACAAATTTAGTGATGTCAATTTTAAGGATTAATAACATTACCAGAGTATTACTCGAAAACAAAAATAGAGAACTATTGAAGGAAATCTAATTATGAAATCATCCTGATTTTAACAAAAAAAACAATGCAGCAGAGAAAAGCGGGATGCAGGAATATAGTCTCTGTAAAACTCAAGCAACTGAACACATCTGCTAGTATTTGAATCAATTGTTGCTATTAATACATCATGCTGAAATCTGTATTTAATCTTGACTTCAGTTTTGCAGCAGAGTTTATTACAAATTTTTTCTGAACACTGTCTTTAAAAATAAGACAATGTTTTCCAGTCAGTTATTTTTTACATATATACATACACATAAGAAAAGTAACCTTTCCTAAATCAGAATGCAAACATCAATGGCTTTTTCCATAAAAATATTACCATTTGAACTATAATGGAAAGAAGAATGAAAAGTAGTACAAAATCTCACAGCATACTGGAGATATGAAATGAAAATTTGAAAATGAGTATAGAGAGAAGATGAAAAAATCCATCTATGGGATTTATAAGGTGACAGAAATTAGTTTTTTATGCTCTGACTTTCATCAAACAATCCAATAAATTAGAGTAAGAAATTCATTTTTAAAAATACAGATGATAATGTATTGATCTGATGATAAGTAAGGATATCTATCAAAACCATTCCATTTGCATAGTACTTTTTTTACTCAAGACACTGATATTCTATTAGGTTGTTTATTATTCTTTATTACAATGCACCTCTCTTTTCAAAAACACACAAAATCTTTTGTAGCTATTCCTATATTTATAAAGAACAGTATTTGTGTTTTAGGATGACCTGCATACTTTTTACAAAGAATGTTTTCTAGATTTTAAGAAGTTGAAGAGTTACAATACAAAAGAAATGTCCCAAGTTCACTTACCCATTCTGCCACCTTGTTCTGTACTTTGGCCTCGGGGTGATGAAGGCTGTTCTGAATCACTACAGATATTCTATACATTATTCCATCTGCCCATTGGAAATAAGATTAGCCCATTAATTCTATTTGATATTCATTCAAAATGGTTTAGATTTACAATGATATCATGCTACACAAACTATAAGACATCCCTTCTACTCAAGCACAGAAAAATTCCCAAGCTATTTTTTAAGGGAAGGTTATCGGCCTTTGTAACTTAGGGATGGTTATCAGCTAGGTTGCTAGTAGAGAAAATGCATTGTTCCTAAATTATCAACTGTAATGTTTCATATTTCTACACTGGTATGGATATTTGATACCCACTATTTCCAAAGCAGCGACTTTGCACATAATTTGATCTCTTACATGAAATTACACTTTTTGCACAAAGAATGATAATGATGTTTTACGTCTTAAACAAAAACATCCAGAATATATAGAAATATGGAATTAAAATAATATTGAGGAATACATTGAATGAAAGCATATACAAGCAGCACAGAGGATACAAAAGTATGCCCATACAAAATGTACATTCCAGTCCCACTACATAAAGAATGCCATTCCAGTGAAGGAGTAGTTTCATGCCTAAGCAACAGAATAATCGTCTTTGCCCCATGTAACACAATAAATATTTAAATAATAGAAGTGTTGCAGACACTGACAGGTCCAGATGTGGGGACGTAGTGCTGTATGCCTCTCTATATGCAGACTAATGATGGACTCCCAATGAAACTGTTGAATACATTCTGACAGTACAAAGCTGGATTCTCTGACATATCCATTCCTACAATGTCGGGAAACACTTCAACAGAGGGATGATGAACTAATGACTGTTTATGAAAGCCTATCCATTGTAATACTAAAGGGGCATTCCGTAGTAATGGGGAGGGGAATTGGGAGGGAGACGGAAAATCCCAGAATGTACGTAACTGGGTCATAAAATTTAAAAAAAAAAAAAAAAAACTGCTACAATTCCAGGGCTATGTTTTATTTAGGCAAGCTAGTTTATTTCAACTTCTAAAATATTTAAGAAATTTTAATGATTTTTTTATATTCTTCATATTGTGAACGCTCACAATGATTGAGAGGAAATAAAAATGTGTATTTTCTAATGATTCAGAGGAACGTCAAACCAGAGATTTTCTGAATGGGACTAAATTCAAATTATAGGAGACCAAGAGTTAAATTAGGTTCCTTAGGGATATTCTGCAAATACATCCTGGAATCTGTAAAGGATCTAAGAAACTACCACTAGATGGAGACCTAAAGCACACTTTTGTGACATAAGTAAGCATCACTTCCTTTCCAGAAAAAAATATTGGAAAGTATTAAAATTCAGTATTTTTAATCATTGATGGTTCTGGAAATTTTATGTAAGTATCGAAAAACTTCCCCCAGTGGACTGCTGTTAAGCCAATGTGATGCAGGTTGATGCAGGCCCAAACAGTTCAACATTAAACATACTTATAAATCGTCAAGCATTCCAGAAACTTCAAAAGATGTATCTATTATCCTAATAATGACATCCAGGTCAAATGAATAAATCTGAGATATTTCTAGAAAAAAATAAGCATTTAGTATCTATTTTCTTATTTCATCACCCTTCTAATCATGTAGAGCTCAAAGTAGAATCTACTATCTTCCATTATAGATGCAGTAACAAAACAGTATTCCTTTCTGCACGTCTTTCTTCAACCCAGCCTTTTTTTTTTCAATATTTTACACTCTGCTAAGTTTATTGCATGATACAGAAATGGCAGTGTTAGAAAGAATCAAGATGGCAAAGTAAGGTAGGGACACATTTAAACAGGGAATCATTAGCTAGAGTGAAGCAGAGAGGGCACATTTCAGGAAAACAAGAGAGAACAAGACCGACAACAGGGGGTTACCTGGAGCCTGACGAACATGGGACAGCAGCAGACACAATGGTATGGTGTCACAGTGACCAGATACCCCAGTGGCCATTAGCAAGTGAAGATTTGAGCTACACCTGTGGCCAGTGTCTGCACTCTATCGGTGGGCCAAGCTCCATCAACAGCCAGGTAGGACAGGGGTTCACCAGAGCTCAGCAGGTGAACCCAGGCAAAGAAATGCCCATCCTGTTGATTTGTTTAATTTGTCTAGTAGCTGAGAGAGCAGCATCAGATCCCAAAGAGGCAGACCAGTAACAAGGTGGATTTTGCAGCCCAATCCTCAAGCAGTGTAAAATCAGATGTTATTTTGTGTAGGGAGGCGAAGGTGATGTGGGATAGGACTGCACATGTACTAAACTGGGAACAATCTTATTTCTGACTCAGTGCATTGCATCAATGTGGGATCCTACAGATTCCACCCAAAATAGGTTCAGGTAGCCCCCAGACCTAATGGCCAGCAGATATAGAATTCCACCTATGGCATATCAGACACCATGTTCTACACTGTGGCAAAGGCTTTGAGATTGTAGTGACAATAGTGCATGCACTGAGCTTGGAGCAAACTCACTTCCAGCTCAGTGCATTGCATTGGTCCCACAGGAAAACAATACTGACTTTGGCGTCCTGCAGGTCAAAATAGGTCTGGGTGGCCCACAGATTTAATAGCCAGCATGTCTGGCAAGATCTGCACCACCAACAACATAGTTATTCAGGACACCTACTGTCTCCCTAATCCTGGGAACTCCTTGAACCAGTAGGAGGAGAAAGGTTGCACAGAAAACAGTGCAACCTCAGCATGGGACCACAGGAGGTAGAGAGGGGTGAGCCAGCAGATGGGGTTCCAGAAACCATGGTGGAAGTCTAACACAAGAGTCCAGGCCTGAAACTGGAGAGAGTGGCACAAGTGACTGTAAACAAAGAACTAGGTACCAACTGCAATCAGTAAAATTGAACTGTAGATCTGTGAGTGACACAGCTTAGAAACCTGCTCTAAGAAGAAGAATCTGCTGACCAGAAGTACAATGACCAAGAGCAAAAGAAGAGACAGAGGCACAATGAATATTGCTGAAGATTCCCCTGCAAAGGAGCAAAAGATCTTGCCAACCTCAGAGTTAGCTTAGGAATACATTGAGGAAATGCAGGAAACAGAATTCAGGTAACTCGTTTTAAAGCTTCTTATCAACAATGAGAAGCCAGACAGCATTTCAAGCAACTTAAGGAATATGTCACACAGGAAATAAAAACATTAAAACAAAATCAAGCCAAATTATTGAGAATGAAGGACAAAATAGGGCAAATTAAAAATTCAGTGGAAAGTCACATTAATAGAATGAGGGAGGCAAAATAAAGGATCTTAGAATTGGAAGATACTTTTTATCACAATGGGGAAACAATCAAAAAGCTGGAAGCAGAACTGGGACAAGCTAAAAAAAAGTATGCAAGAATTAAGAGACACTAATAAAAGGCCAAATATAACCTATGGGAGTTCCCGGTATACTCAATGAAAAAATAAAGGAAAACTTCCCTAATATGGAGCAAGAATTATGAAACAACATCCAGGAGTGGCACAGACTTCTGAATAAGCTTGACCAAAAGCAATCTTCACCACAACATATGATAATCAAGCTCTCTTCAATTAAACGTAAGAAAAGATCCTTAAATGTGCACATAAAAAAAATCAATTGACATATAAAGGAATGGCAATGAGACTCACAGCTGACCTCTCACAGGAAACTCTACAGGTCAAAAGAGAATGGGACAACGTATTCCAGATTCTAAAAGCAAAAAAAATGTTGGCCCAGAATAATTTGCTCACAAAGCTTTCCTTTGTCTTTGAAAACCAAGCAAAATTCTTCCTGAATAAATAAATGCCCAAAGAGTATGCCTCTTCCAGCCCTGCCCTACAAATGATACTTAAAGATGTTCTCTTGACAGAGAAAATAGCACCCACCAAAACCAATGGGAAATGTGAAGAACATCTCAGTCAGAAATAACAGAAGGCTAAATCAAACAATGAATAACCCATTGCTAAAATGACAAAACCAAATTAACACCTATTCATATTCACCCTGAATGCAAATAGCTTAAGCCCATCAATCAAATGTCACAGATTAGTAGACTGGATTGAAAAAAACAAAACCCATCTATTTGTTGTCTATAGGAGACACATTTCACCAACAAAGATCAGCGGAAACTATACCTCATGGCTTTTGATGTTTTTATTTTCATTTTCACTTCTTTAAAATTCTTCACTGAGTCTCTAAGTCATACAGTAGCATCATTTTCTTTTAAAAAGTTCTTGATTTTCTTTTTCCTTTCTCCAAAGACATTCATTAGCATGTAACTAAACTGCATGGCATTGTAAATTTGGGTTTTTCTTCCAGTTGTTGATTTTGTTTTATGGCTTTTCATTTAAGGGCATGTATAGTAGCTATGCAATGGAGAATATCATATCCAGATGGATGGATACAATGCAATATGTATATCCAATTGCAGATCAAAAATGGACCCCTAAGGAAATTGTTAAATATATCTTGACAATAGGATGCTGAACCCCCTGCCATTTCCATGGATGCAATAATGGACTTATGACCGTTTAGGAAGAACTACACTATTCTAACAATATAGGGGAAAATCAGTGTGGGAGAGAGGGATTTTGGGGTGGAGTTAAGGGAAGGCCCAGAGCCTATGGAAATGTATCATAAAATAATAATAATAATAATAATAAATGGAAATAGATATTTTAAAAGAAATGAGAGTGTTTTATCGATTATATATTCAATAGTGTGAAATTCTCAATGATAGGTTTGAAAATATATTTTGAAAGCCATATTTTAAAACGTAAACCCAACACTATTTTGGATATGAGATTATTTGAAAAGGTGCTACGTTAATTACATTTGACTTTTACTGTATCCTATTTCTTCAATGTATATGGTGTGTAAAGCTGCAGATATAATTGGGATTATACCAATATCCTCTGTTATTGTTAATTGAAAAGCTTATCATACGTGATAGACAGGAAACTGCTGCACAATTTATATTGTATAAGCTAGGTTCTAGAACAATAATAAAAACTAATGAAGTTAAAGCCTTATTTGAGTTAATTAACTCAAGTAAGTTACTTAATAAGT